AGTAGCTAAATTTATTTTTTCCTAGTAAAAATTATTTTGCAGTTAGTAGAATGTAGCAAGTTCTTTTGCTCTCTATTTGTTAAAAAATTGCCAATTATTAAACTAAACTAGCAATTTTGTTTGAATACAATGATTTAGTTTTAGCGCTAAAATCAATGATGTGCAAGAGAAAATCTAGCACTTAATAGAAAAATCAAGTTAATTTGTCTTCTAAACTTTAAATAAAGCAACCGTTGTATAACAAACCAGACTTTTTTGTTGTATACATTTATTTAGGATTGATTTTTAAATATAATCATGCAATTAACGAATGCTCTTTTGTCGTTTTACTGTTTCAAGAAAACGACAATTGTTTAATAAACGTTACATACTTTGTTAGATACAAAGATTCAATTTTTTCTCGGAGCTTGATGCCTTAAATGTAAACCTAATACAAACACAAAAGTTCGTTTGTGAGCAATTTTATCCATAAAATAGTCGTTAGTTAACTTGCTTACGCAAAACAGCCGTTAGTTAACAAACCACGTAATTTTGTGAGATGCGGTAATAGGGTATTAGATCTCCGGTTGATGATGTGTTAAGGACACTTCAATATGAACGAAAAAAGTTAAAAACTTTTCCTTTATTTGTTTAGAAAAGCTATTGTGTAATGAATCTGACACGTTTTGTCGAGTTAATGGCTAATGAATTCGACAAGTTTTGTCGTCTATCATTAACTCGAGGCTGATTTGTCATATGGATAATCTTATCATATAACGAGAAAGTTAAGTTATTTTGTTCGTTAATCTTGTTTAAAAAAACAAAAAATGTATAACTAACCTAGCTAACGTTGTCAAATAACATGGTTTATTTTTTTCCAATGGTTGATGAATTTTGTCATTAATGCCAAATGTAAGTTCTTCATTTGGAATTTCTTCTGAAAAACAACTGGTATTTAACGAACTTGGCGTTGCTTTTCAGATATTTTTATTTACTTCTATCCTGTTGATGTATAAATCACCGATAAGATTATAACAAACAACAAAGATAAATTATTTGTTAACTTATTCCAACAACAAAGTTGTTAACTCTAATCAGAAGTTGTTTTTTAGAAGGTAAAATAAATTCCCATTGATAGGTAGCTCCAACACCAGAATGTTAAAGTAATATATGTGGAGACTCTGGAGTTGTATAACCATACCGATGAATATGTCACAGATAAATTCCTATCCACATTGGGATGATCTATAAACCCAGAGATTCTGAATTTAAATTTTGGCAATTTTTTGGGACCAGCGTTGATAGTTTGCTTTTGATAAAACCAGGAAGAATATTAGTCGAGATATGCATAAATTAACCTGAATATCTCTAACCGTTGAAAAAAAAAAAGTAATGTATAACTTCCACGTATATCAACAACCTGCCAAAAAAAAAAAAAAATTCCTTAGGTTGGAGTCAAAACTGATTTGATACATTAGTTTTGGTTGCACCCTTCTAGGGCCCATATCCCCAAATTGAAATTCTGTCATTTTAAAAAAAAAAATTAGATTTTTCCGACAAAAGTAATACACTTTTTTCCCCCTTTTAAAACGTTATATCTTTCCGACCCAAATGTTTATTGCTTTTCAAGCATTGTTCTGTGGAGACTGGAGGTTGTAAAGTCCTTTATGATAAGGGTATTTGGCTCCATTCCTATTAATGGCTAATATTTACTATTGCTTGTCGTATGGTTAGAATTTGGACATGACAATAAATACATTTTAGAACGTATGATCAGCTTATATATAATCAGTCTTAATTTATCTAATATATATATTTAGCTCCACAACGAACACGGTGCACATGTTGCAAGAGTCGTGAAAATATTGCAAATTTAAGAAACGTGCATGGAGCATTCTCGCATCAATATAAATGTCCGAAATAGAGTATGGAAGAATTAGATATACACTGTCTTACTTTCGCGTGTTGAAAATTATTTTTGTCTTCGTTAGAACCTTTGATGTTTTAAATCCTGTCAATTCTAACCAACATTTTAGCATTTATATCTGCATTGCCTTTTTGCATGGAGAATTGCCAGTTGGATGGTTATTTCTTAGCCTCAGTTCAGTTACGATGAAAAAACAAACGTTAAGCAGAAAACCTGGAAAGCCTCGAGAAGCTGTTGAAAAAGGGAAAGAAAAAAACAAGAGAACATAAATAATTCAACGAAAGGCCCATGGAAAAGTTAATTCGAGTCAATGAGAAAGAACCAGAAAACTAAAACCATATCTTTAAACCACATTACTTCAGCTAAGTACAAAACAAGAGTACTTTTCGCACTGAGAGCACCCTTCAGATTTTGTGAATCTGTAATTCATTAGTAACCAAACAGGACTTCTCTTCTAACACCTGAGTGCCCAGCATCAGTTTCTACTTATTACATCAGTAAAACTTAGAATAAAACACAAAACAACAAACCCCTGGGGTAGATAGTAGTTGGGATTTTATGGCCTGAAAGTCCCTCATTAAGACTTCTTTTTATTATTAATAAAGGTTTGATTATCATTGCATTTTGTAAAATAACCTTGCACACATGAGAGTAAGCCTCTATAATTTAAATTTTCTCAAATCTCGTAATAACGGGAGTCCGGTGCACGGATCAACTTTTCTCGAGTACATATTATAGATGTAGTATGATTTCAATGCATGAGTTTTTGTATCTTTGTATCCTCAATATCATGTTTAAGTTTAAAATTCCTTTTTAACGCGAAATGCGAGCAATTCATATCTATGACAAAAACTACAATTGTTAATTATTAGGGTTTGTTGGGCTGTGTTAACGAGGTGGTGAAGCTTATAACTGGTATACTAGCTAGGATGGTTGAAGAGCTGATCAGATTAACTTCACAAAATGATCATATATAATCAAAGAAAATATTATTTAAACATAATTTGTTGATTTTATTTGCTAACCTAATGTATTATAGTTATTGAATTGGTGGCTGATCCTAATCAACAACAAGGCACATTGTCAATCTAAAAAAAGAAAGTGATTAGATCGACAATTAAAGTCAACAAATACATGATATGAAAAATAGTTCAATCAATTACAGAAATCTAAGTACCCAATGGTTTTTGCTAACTAAACCAGTACATACATACTATTTTATGAAAATTAGAAAAAAAGTCTATTTTTTTAAGAAATTATCCACCACTAGGCACCACAGGTTTACTATCCCAATAGTGTTTGTCTTGTCTATTGCCCTTCAAAATATACTAAATCATGGTTTTCCGTTAAAAAAAATAATAATAATGCTACTTAGACCTAATTTGACTCTCTTTTTTTTTGAATGGTACCGTTTAAATATAATTTGAAGATTTAATTTTGTGGCCCATGCAGCGCTATTTTTAAATTAGCTTTGAGTCATGAACGATATGTTACTTTATTTCTGAAAAAAAATGAAATTCCACAAAGCTTGAAACACTAAGTAATCAGAAAGACTATGTTCACAAATGCTAAAAAGAAAATTAATTATCCAAAATCTAAATTACTTGGTCAATTAGGCCAATACATAAGCAATTAATCAATGGGTACTTTTTTGTACTTTGACAGTCTTTACCCCATCCCCCCCAACTCCCTCCCTCCAAAATTAACATTACTCCTCCTGTAGGTGATACAGTTTATTTCAACAAACTCAATTGAAGTACTTGAGTGGATACACTTATCAGTAATGCTACACTTACTTATTGGCTTTATTCTATGGTAGTCAAATGGGGAATATTCCGTAGGTTCTGTATGGTGATCTCATGCTCTTCATTCTCTCTCTCTCTCTCTCCGCCCCGATCCCCACCCACCAGCCCATTAAGGTTCATGTGCCATGAAGAAACTGAAAACACATGCACCATTAACATTTTCATCTGCCTAATTAATGTCCTGATCACTTTTAAGGGTAAAATGTTGCTTAATTCATGGAAACTTGGCCATTTGGGAAGCTCTGCCTTCGCTTCATTTCAGTTTCAAATCAAAAGTCCAACTAAGTAGTTGAAAAAGTAAGAGAAAAAAACAAGAGATCAAAAGTAAAGAAAGAGAAAGATAAACCCCCCCCCCCCCCACTTCCTCTCTCCTCCCTCCCTCGCTCCCTCCCCCCTCAAGAAAGAAATAGTACTAAAAAAGTTCATTGCATTGCATGTAACTGAAAAACAGAAAACTAACACCTGTTTACAAGCCGATTAGATGTTCAAATAGAGTAGTGCTACACTGAATGATGTAGTATTAATATAATAGAATAATTTTTTTTGACGAGGTAGTAGAAAAAAATTACTAAACCCCTATTTTAGTTTTTTTTTTTTTTTTGTCAATCTAACATTACTCTTGAAATATTCACATGTGAAATAGAAAAGACATCTCTATCTTTCATTGACTAAACGAGAAAACATAATTGGGTTAATATATAAAGATTGGTACAAATTATGTCATAAGTTTAAGTTTTTTGGTTTGGCCCGAGACTCACATTGTATAATATTGTCTATTTTAGATTAAACCCGTACAATTTAAAACGCGTTATAACATTTAAGTATAACTCCAAATCCACTTCACTGATCGAGGTGAAATTAGATCATCACAACGCAAGGAGATGCTACCAAAAACTCCACAACCAATTGAAAAACCATGATTCACATGTGGGATTGAAAAGGCAATAATCGAACATCCATCCATCAACTAACACAAGGAGGCATCGTAGGCTTAAAATATATGTCCTAGAATATAACATTACATTACATTAGTCAAGCATATATAAAAGAGCACTGTTCATATTTTAGAACATTACCCTATAAGACAGACCTTAATTCTTTTATGAATCTGTCATTTTCTTAGCATAGACTAGCTGTCCCTTCAAACATTTTCCAAAAAGGGTCTAAGATTTAGATTCTACATACATACTAAAACTGGTAGGACTGACACTGACATAGTTTTTTTGGGACACCATTATACTTAATTTTAACAAACATGGGGCCTGATAAAAGTACCACAACCACCATACTTAGAACATGAAGCTGTTGCTAGTGCTTCCATGGGAGAACTGAGAAGATGAATACATTTGAACCGCATCCATCTTTTTCTTACCACCTGAGGTACCCTCATTCATCATCATGTCCATCTTCATGTTGCCATAGCTGGGTTCACAGGATGGTAAAAGAGTGGCTCCATCCAGCAGATATGAGAGGTAAAAGTCAGAATAAAGTGGGGTCTTTGGAGCTTCTTCTTTCTGGAAGTTATTAGCAAAGTACATGTTGGTGTCTGGAGTAGCAGAGGAGAACCCACATTCAGCATTTCCATTGAATTTGAACCCAAGGGAATTGAAGCCAGCCGAATCGTTGACATAGTTAAAGCCAGCTGAATCATTGACATAGTTATTTTGAGATGTTTTTGCCTCAATCCGACCGACCATTTTACCATCATCAACAAATGAATCCTTGGGCTTGTTTTCGAAAAGGGCTTTCATGAAAGTCAGTTCATCGTCATAAGTCTGAGCCATTAAAGATGGAGAGTCTTCATCGGTGGTTTGGGACAGTTCTGGAAAAAGCACGCTGAATTGGCTTGATGGCCCTTCTGAGACGGCGGAGTTGGTGGGGGTTGTACTGGTGGTGGTGTTGCTGTCGCTGGTGGTGATAATATTCAAGCCGTTCCTTTTCATGTATTCTTGCAATATAGTTGGGTGAGGCTTAACAATTTCACCTTCGTGTTTCTTGCTCTTCCTTCTCGAATTCTGCCTTCTCTTTGTGGCATTCCAGTGATTTTTTATTGAATTTTCGCTCCTTCCAGGTATGTGCTTTGCGATTTCTGCCCATCTGTTCCCAAACTTCTCATGACCTTCAACTAAGAGCATCTCTTCTTCATCATTCCAACTGTCTTTCTGGAAAAAAAATTAACAACAACAAGAAACACAGTGGGTTCTATAGATATATACAAACAAAATTTAAGAAAATAAAGATACCACCACCTAACTATACAATAAAAGCTTTTACATGGAGATATTAAAGCTGGAAGCTTCAATAGCAAATTAAAAGGCTTTGTCAGGAAAAAGTTCCCAAAATCACATTAAAATGAACACTAAACAAGAATCTGAGAATTAGGTGTAAACGGACAATGACTGAAACAGAAAGTACCACCCATGTCTCAAGATTCAAAATGCTGATGTTGAAGACAAAACCCTAAACAATTTTTTCGAAGAGTTTTGTGACCGAATTTTATTTTTTTTAAAAATTGGTTCATCACTCACTAAAAAGATCTCTCCGGATACGTCCATAGAGAAACTAGAGGTGATGTGAGTGGACATTAAACTGCAAAGCTTTCAACATTGCATGTCAAATTCCTGATGTGCAAAACAAAATCTAGGCTGTTTCTGCAGAAAGCATTAATTATTTAGCAACAAAACAAAACTTTATTAAAAATCCTTAGAGATTTCAAGTAAATCCTTGATGTGGGCTAAATCAAAATCTTTGACGTCTTATATACAGAAAAAAGTTGGGAATGCGAGAAAATCCAGATAAGGTAACTTAGGTTTTTGTTTTTTTTTTTGGGTAAAATGACTGAAAAAATTTACAAAATCTAAAGCAAATCTCAGTTCTTAGATACCCATCTTGGATATCTATTAGATTTCCAACAGTCATAAAATTCGAAAGCCCTGCAGATCTGAAACAGAGAAACTTCATTACTTGATGACAAGTTATAGAACAGTAAAGGTAATAAACAGAAATAAACAGAAAGATAAAGTGACTTTAGTTTGTAGAAACCCGGAAAAAGAAAACGATAACGAGAAAAAAAAAACCTTGATATCAGGGCGGAGATGATTATGCCATCTTTCACGACACTGTTTTCCGGCTCGACCAAACATTTTCTCGGCAATATGAGCCCATTTCTTTATTCCATGTTGCTTCACCAACCTGATCAATTTACTGCAAAACAAACAAACAAAAAAATCAAAAACTTTGGTATGCATTGAATTTATCATGTGGAAAAGAAACATGCATGAAGGGAAGAAGAAAAATAGATGAAACATAGTTCTGAAAACAAAGGAATTTGAAGGAAAAATCTGGGTTATATCACCTGTCTTCTTCCTCTGTCCATTGCCCCTTGATCAAATTTGTAGAAGAGCCACCTTTCACTCTTTTTCCTTTATCCACAGAATTTGTCTGCGCAGATTTAGTTTCTTCATTCAATCCTACGTTAGGATCTATCCAATTTAGAGTGTCTTCATCTAGGAAGAGCCCATCAACAAAGCTTGTGTCTGGAAGATCCGGCCATGATACCCCACATGCATAGCCACCCATGGCACCACCGGAAGAAGAATAAGAAGAAAAATCATAAAACCCATTTCCTGAAACAAGTGGCTCTTTGTTTTGCAGATCGTTCAGACTTTGTTGTTGAAAGAAATGGGGTTGAGTCTGATCCCAAAGAAACCTGTCAATGGCAGATAATGGAGGACTTGGTCGAAACGGAGGGGGGTTAGTTTGTAAATTTCCATACCCAAAACCTCCTCGTCCCCCACCTTCCATGAAAGAGAGGGTTGTAGGAGACTAAAACAAGAAGAGAGAAGAGAGAAACTGCTTTTAAGCAAAAGAAATAGCTTTGATTGAGGAGAGGGTCTCTGCTCTCTCTCTACTTGAAACATAAGTACATAACTAAAGCTGGACAAAGAGCTTATGCTAAGGCTCGCAATAAGCTGCATGCACTGATAGCCGTTGATCTTTGAAATCATGCAACGGGTGAGAATCGAAGGTGGCAGTAACTCCTGAGCTTCTGATTCAGACGATGGTAGTAAGAAAGGTGGAAGGTGTAGGGGTCTCGTTAATCAGTAGTTAATCATTTTGCTAATTAAATAAAATTAGGGGTTTTTTGGTGAATATATGGAAGGTTGTTTTGTGTAAAACTCATATATGGAAGGTTCATTTTGGCACCATCAAAATAAAAAGACAATATCATCCATGTGTGAGAAGAAAAAATTAACCATTGATGGGGGGTATTATGGGGCATCAGGTCATGTAAATATTAATTTTTACAAGTTAATTGTAATTATTAGTAGGGAGGGAATTGGGGAGTGTTTTAAGCCCTGTGTTAAATTCTTTTTGGGTGACTACTTAATGCTTACCCATTGTAGAAAGCTTAGATGATGACTGATTATGTGTGTATATATATATATATAGATAGATACATTATTACGTTCCTAGGGTTGACATAAGTGTCGATTGGCTAACAATATAAAATTTTTTTTTTTTACTACAAAGTGTCTAGGCTTGCGCCGACTACTTCCTCAAATTCAGTAGCTAGCCACCATGGCTAACAATATGTGATTATGCTTCATTTTCAAATGAGCTTAATTAATTTATTGGTAACTACAAATTGGTAATAGCCCAATTTGAGCAGGTTAGGATTCCATATTGTGGGTCTTTCGGTCTAAATAATTACATATTAAAAGAACAGGGTTTGAATTTTATGTAAAGAAAGAAAATAAAGCTAGGTAAAAAAAAAGAATGTGAAAGGGCTAATATTAATATACATTAAATTCCATTTTATCAAGCAAGGTGTTATGATTTTTCTTCTAGGGAGAGTTTTTGTAGTGAATTTTTGTGAAAAAAATGAAATGTCACTTTCCTTCGATTCAACATTTATAGACGAGTTTGGGAAAAATATTTTTACATTTTGTGGCTCGGTTCGATATGTACTACTCTGATTTTCACAAAAGTATATATATATACACACTTTATGTGTCTTGAAAAAATAATTATTGTGCAAATAAGGGAGGTTTTAGCTGTAATATCTATACAACAGAGTAAACCAATCCTCAGTATAGTTGCATACTCTTTAAGTTTTGATTATAAGGCATCCTGATTGAGTTTTTATAGTTCTAGTCAAAGTTTAGTTATTAGTCAGAGTGTATAGAGATTCTTTTCTTGACTTTTTTCTTTTTATATTTATAAGAAAATAATTACCATCCAGACAAAATCTGACCGTAACGTAGAAAAAAAAAGTTTCTTGGCATAATTGGATCTCTAAAAATCAGAACTACGGGTCTAATATGTTTTTTTTGATCGCCATTTGAATTGGGTTGTTTAAATTCGAATTTGATCTAAAGATCAGATTTAACATTCAATATTATCTATATTCATGTTTGATATGCGTAAAAATATATGATTATTATGATAATATATTTGTATATAAATAATTATTTTATCTCTTAACTAATTTTTGTATATGATATATATAAGATATATGGAGATATAAATATCATTTATATATTAAATATTTTAACTCACATATGAAACCCATCTCTTCTTGAATTTTATAAAATCCAATTACGTGAATTTCATGACCGATGTCCGAATCATCTAATAAGTTAAATTTTCAAATCTTAGATTAAATATAAATTATCAAACATCAATTTATGGAGTTTATTTCTCACCTCACAATTCAAACCCCTCACAAATCCGTACAGCAAACAGCCCCCAAAGTTTTAAGCGGGCAAGGAACAAAATCTGGAAGATGATTAAGGTTTTATGAGTCCAGTCAACAACGTATAATAATTTATTTATGTACGGAAAGTACTGACGCAAGACTTATAGTTCTCAGTGATTTTAGTAGTCATAGAATGGGACTCACTTTATTTTGCCTGTGATGGCTTTTGTTATGATGAGAACACATTGTATATTTAGAAAAGGGTCTTTTGTTTTCGATTCAAACTTTTACCTTTCGGAAAAAAAATAATAATAACTTGTTCGTGGCAGAGTGTAAGACGTGATTTTTCTTAGATTCATCTATTTCTTTTTTTCCTTGAACAGCAGTTTTATTTTAGGATTTTGTCAAATTGAAAGGCAGGAAAAACAGCACGGTCATACATGGCAGACTTAGAAAAAATATAGGTATGTATGTATTATGGCTACCTATGTTTTTAAGTATATAAACATGCATTAACTTTGGGTGAAATATGGCTATATTTCATGGCTTAGGTCAACTTTAGTACTTTGTTTTATGGTAATTAATGTAAAAGAAATGAATTTTCTTTGGTTAATTTTTCCTTGACTAGAATTTTAATCTATAAAGGTGCCGTGAAATATAGTATCGAGTAAAAAGTATAAAAAATACTTACCATAACTGAATTATGTTAAATTCAAATGTGATAACCGTGTTCTCGATGTAACAGTGAAACTTATATAAGCATGCATTATCAAGCAATCAAATTTATAAACTTGATTAGAGTAACTCCAAAGGTAGTTGTCATTTTGGAATGTCAAATCACTCATTTATAACCTTGAACAATGTTTTAGCACCCTTGAATTATTAATCTGCTCCAATAGCAGGTGCTAAAATGAGATGTAATTTTCACATTTTTATTCATCAATGTAGATGAATCGTTGGATCTATATTCATCTAACGGATTTATATTCATCAACCCATTTGCAACCTTTCCATTTCTCTCTCCAGAATTACCAAAAATACCACCTCAAGAGCCTTGATGCTATTTTTTTAACCCCATATGCCCCCTTAGAGTGAAAAAATTTGATTTTGGGGTGACATATGGGGTTGCCACCCCTTGGAGTTGCTCTCAGGGTTAAGTATCAAATATGTAGTGTTTGACTCCCTGGCAAGTCCAACAGATTTGTTAAAGGAGCGTTTGGAAAGAGCACCAAGAGGAGGAAGAATCCTTCCTCTGAGACATTAGTGCACTTGCAAAGCAATAGTGAATGAGGTGCTTGCCACTAAAGGATGACCCAAAAAAAAAAAAAACTTGCCACAAATGGGCCATTCCTCACCTAGACGAAACTTTTGGGCCTGGGATTAGGGGGACCGCTAGTAGGAGTCTTCTTTTCACTTAGCCAGCTGAAATAATTTAAGTTCCGGCTTCAAGTTTTATCAACTTAATCCACATCTCCTTCGACCTCGTATACTTTTTTGATCAGAGACCTAGTATACTTCAACCAATTGGCCGACTATACAATGACCCATTTAGATACTGCCTCAGCCTATTGCCCTCGTTGGACCCGTCAACAGATTTAATTTGAATAAAATTTTAACTGATTCAATTCTGATGTTAAAAGTTTTATCCGAGCGCAATCCGATTATCTAACGGATTTTATGTTTATGGTTTATATGCGAACTCATTAACAATCTGAAATTTTATTGAAATAACTTAATTTTACAAAAAATTAATAAATTACATCTAAATTTTAACTAAACTTCTTTAAATAATCACTTAATTTGTTTAATATTTGTATAGAAATATATACATATTTCGAATCGAATCGAATCGAATATAGATATATTCAAATCTAAATTCGTGAAAAATAGGATAACGAATTCGAGTCCAAAATATGAATAAAAATACTTATTCATATTCAATTAATCGGATTCAGATTAAAAACCAACAGGCTTATGACATACTGTGTGGCGTATGAACTTCTTTGGATGTGTGGCAGCTAACTTTTCCAGGAGAAGAGAGATCAGATAGAAGATTTAAATTCAAAATGGAAACCAAATCAAGATGATATCACGGTTCAATAGTTAGGAGTGTCAAGACTATCTTATGCACACTTCAATTAATCTTCTTTCTGGTTCAGTTAAAAACAGTCTATCTTAGGATATACAGGATTAAGATATACACGAGAGATAAATCTCTCAAAACTTGATAATCTGAATTTATAGTCCGTCTCTATTTTCACTTGAACTAACCTTAGGGTTCTAGTTGTTATTTCACTTGATAGACTGGACACAAAAGCTTGAATCTCATCACCCTTGTGAAATTTTTTTTAAAAAAAAAATTAATTCAACAAATGCCAAAGCACTTCCACACCCATCTCCTAAGAAGTCCCCCTTGATTTGAAATTTTAACAAGAATGGGGTGAAAAAAAAAAAAGGAGGTTGATTTGGTTGCAAATAAGTCCAGCAACACAGCAACAAAGTTGGTTGCAAATAAGGAAGTTGAACTTTTTTTTCTTTTTCTTTTTTTCATTTTTATGTTAATCTTTTGCAGCCTATTTCAAACACCTTATCAATTGTCATTGGGAAGATGGTGTGACATTACTCATATATGTGTCTGCAAATCTATCTAATATTATAGTTAAAAAATTGAATTTTTTATTTAATTAATTTAATGGTAAAAATTCATGTCAATTTTTTTTTTTAAAAAAACGTCGTTTTTATTACACTATTCCTAATTCTAGACAACCCCATCAATTCACACATATACATTTTTTCTTTTAAACTAGCTCGAGTTATGGTGGTTGACTCAGAGTTCGAGAGAGTAGTCAGTGCAAATCTGAATAACTTGTAAGAAAAAAAATTAAAAAAATACCTCTCTTCTCGCTCCATTTAAATGTTGTACTATTAATATTTAATTTTTGATATTGTAAAATGTCTTTAAACACGTGTCATTGATAGTGTTTTATATGTGAACTACTTCCAATAACTTCTATTGGCCAAAGTTTTATCCAATAAACTACTATGCATTTCAATTTTTTTATTTTGGGAGAACAATTAGAAGTGTGTTTAGGGAGCAGAACGATGAGATTTCAACTCGCGACCTTAAATCCAACAATAGAGACGGTGACTATTAAACCAACCGCTAACCTCAACAAGTTGAAGTGTTTACTGTTTTTTTTTTTTTTTTGAAATTTATTTGACTTAAAACCAGAATAATTCATATTTTTACAGAAAATTTAGGCCTAGCAATGTTCAGTAAAAACAGATGAATGGATGACAGAGGAGGGTGTTCCAAAGTGCTGTATGCAATCGATTTTGGATGGGATCGAATTTCTTAATTTGGGCCCACTATAGGGAGTTATTATGTTTGTTTTGTCTTGAACAATTTACCTTAAGAGTGTGGTCTATGCGTGTTTTGAGTTTGAGAACACTGGCAGTATGTAGAGTAAGATTATCCACATTTATTTTCTTTTGACCCTGCAATACAAAGTTCCGTGTAGTAGAATTTAATTTCATGCTTACAATAATAAGCATGCCTTTAGTTTTTACTTACGTACACATTTCACCAAACTGGTCACAATGCTTCACCAACCAAATTCCACTTCAATCAGTTTCTTTGTATCCTTCTGTAAATTTGGTTGGTATATAATATATACCCGTTACCCACCAAAGATCAATTGACAGAGGGTGGCAACATCGTTCTAGTTCGATCTTTTACAAAATCTCCAAAAACGGCACTTATTTATTGATCAAATGTTTAATTACAATGTGGCCATTTTATTGTGTTACAAGACAAACAAAGAAATGTGCAACCCAACGGTAAAGCTTCCTCTTTTTCGGCTGGCTGCTGAAGGGTAAAGTCTGGATCGAACTCAGAGATATCTGGAGAGCAGTGCAGATGATAGAAAGTTGCCGAACGTACTGCAGTTTTGGGCACAAGTTTCTGTCGTCCCGTCCGTGTTTTCGAACACCTCCAATAAACTCAACTCCTACTTTCTCACCTCCCCCGCAATAAACACAAAAACTGAAAAAGATAAATATCTCAGGAAAGACCAAAAAGGTAAGTTAACAAATCAAGTCAGGGAGAGGGAGGAAATTCAATCATGATTAATCATAACTGAGTACATAGGGTTGATCAACAAGTGTTTAAGGGGGAGGGGGTGGTTTTCCCTTTTTCTCTTCTTCTTTTTTTTTTTTTTTTTTTTTTTTTTTTGGGACTTAGGCATCGGTGGTGTCAGGGGAGCTGAGAGGGAAGCAGGTGTCCTCGCCACCGGTGCTCCAAAGAAAATGAGCATAATTGGCAGCATAGTATGAGTTGCTGGGGTCAGCAGAGATGGCCTCCAAGTAGGTCTCTTCAGCACCCCAAAGGTCCTTCCTCACTTGCCATAGGAAGCTGGCGTACTTATTCAATGCCTCAGCATCCTTAGGGTCCACCTTCACCGCCCTCTTGAAGTAATCCTCAGCCCTGTTTCAATCACAAAACATAATTTGACTTTTCCAAATCCATGAATTCGACTTACTAGAAAGAACAAAAATCTGTAATGGAAAGGCTTGACCCACGACAGGAGATCATAGAATTCAAGATATTTCTGTCATGGACCGTGTTTAACACACGCCTTTGGTGGGTTCAGCAAATTGACATCATGCTTGCTGATAGAAGAAGGAATATAAGAATATACCACACATTCCCCTATCAAGTTTCAACCCTGACCCCAATTTTGACAAGACGACAACTACAACTTTTTTCTTAAAGTTCAGATTCTTGCCAACTACAACAGTTCCGAATGTAGAATGAACTAGTTTTGAGTCTTTTGACTTGCTTCTGAGCTCACTAAGCTCAAAACATGAGACCGATGGTAGTGTATGTGTATCCCAGTTGGTCAAAACCTTAAACTGATAGTAGTACCTTCTACTTGGGTTTGATTACATAATTAACTAGGAGGAATAAGAAAAAAGTTGGAAGACCCAGAATTCAATGTTAAAACTACTTAAAACAAACAAAGAATGAAATTCAAAACAAAGAAAGATATGTATGTACCTATCGTAGTCATGGGCAACCAGGTAAAGGAATTGAGCATAATTGGAGAGGAGGAGAGGGTTATCAGGCTCTTGAACCAACCCTGTTTGATAAAGAAGTTCTGTCCTTAAATAATCCGAATAATCGTCTGCTTCAATCTCTGCACAGATGGGTGAAACAAATCTCTGCGTAGTATCATGATCTAAGGCCTCATCTCTTATTGCAGTCTGCATTTTGGAAGCTTCTTCCACTACAGAATTCCATAGTCTCAGCTCTTCTTCTCTGGTCACTTGCCCAGAAACGGACTCTTCTTCACTTGTTCTTGAAGTCCCAATGTCCGGAATGACAGTTTGATGATATTCCCTATAGATGGAACCATCAAACCTTCCATCACCATCTGTCCCACTAGCTACCGGCTTGAATTTCCCACCACCACCGCCATTGTTTCCGCCAATAGAGGCAGTTTTTCTACCTGAAGAAGACACTGAAAACGTCTTAACCGCGGACGAATCGAACTTCTGTTGCTTCTGATCTTCTATCATCGAAACAGACTCCGTCATAGCCGCGTAGGCTTGCGGTGGCAGTGTGGTGGCAACGGCAGCACTACTTGCAATCGAGTACACACTGTAATTGGCCAAAGTATCATCACATAAACCATAAGAGTGGGTGTCTTAGAAAATACTTGTTGAAACAACCACACGAAAGAAGCATTCATCTCCGTCTGTACTCGGCCTAAAATTCCTTGTAAATCTTCGTAGAACAATATCTCTCTCATTTGCCAAGTATAGCTTTGGAGCTCTCGAATTATAAACACCATGGACGAAAAGGCCTTAATTACAGAGGAGTAAGCGGACTCACCTGCTTCTCTAAAACCCTCCTGCCATTGTTTCTTCCTTTTTATCATCCGTAGCGAGATCGGAAGGTCTACACTGTTCGCCTTCCGCTCTATACTGGCCGGAATTATCTCATCCCTCCCGGCCCAATCCGGTGGCTGTACAGGCTCCAGCTTTGGACTAGAAAATTTCTGATTCTCTACAAAACTGATGCTACCTTTGCTACTTTCTCCACTACTCTTGATTTGTCTATCCATGGAATCCACAATTCTCTCTGGCTCTGCTTCTACCACACCATTGTTTTTGTTTTCGACATCATCTTCCGATAACTGGAACCTCAGTGCCAATTCTTGAATTTGCTTCGAGAATTCTTCGTCTGAGAATGCGTCTAAGCTGGCACTACAAGCTCGTTTGATTCGTTGGGTTCTCGATTTCGGGTGTTCACAAGATCGAGATCTGTAAAGGATGGAAGATGGTGTTCCGAACAGAGCCGATTGATCAAGTCTGTGGAAGTACTGGCACAAGAGAGCTCCATCGCTTATAGTACGCCTTTTTGAGGAAGGTGATAAGATTGCGGAGGCAAGGGCTTGAGAAGAAGGAGGCGGGTGAGGAACAGAGGATTGTGACCAATGAAAACAGGCCGTCGCAACTTTCATACCCATTACTCATTCACCAAAACAAAAAGAGAGTAAGAGAGAACCCAAAAGCTAATTGAATATATTGAGAGAGGGGAAGCTTAGTTAAAGAGAGACTGATTAAAGAACTTGGAATCAAAGTCCCAGAAAGGTTAGTGAGGAAAGAGAATTTTGTCTTTCACCAAACAGAAATCTCGGTCACTTTTGCTGTGGATCCTGAAAAGATCCTCTTTCTTGCTTTAAACTAGACCGTACCTGCATAAATAAATAAACAAAGCGACCAACTCAGTCAACACTCACATAAAAGAATCCCCAATTTTCCCGGAAACTAAAGCTACATGCCTACTTTTTTCTAATCACAATTTTCTCAAAAACTACATGGAAATCGAGTGGGAATCTAAGATCAAGCTTGTGCTCACTATTTCTCTCCCTCAAAATCGGATCGGAGAACAAAATTCAAGACAAATAAAATGGTACAGAAGTTCAGAGAGATTGTTACTCAGATCAATTATCTGTGACTTTTGTGCACACTTACTTAGATAGTTTAGATCGGAATCGGACGTCGAAGAATGTGCTATGAAGCTCCGATTAAGTTTCAGTCAAGGCTGTCTCAGCGAAGTACGAAAACCGTAGCTTCACTTATCAACAAATGAAACCCTCTGAGGTTGTTATATACACGACGGCTTCTCACCAAAAAAAAAAAAATCTCTAAACAGTCCAAGCGGTACAAAGTACAAAATCAATCACATCGTGTTAATAAATATATACGCGTTTATATATATAAACTTGAGAGAGAGAGAGAGAGAGAGAGATTGTTTTCTGTCTTCATGGTTTGGTTTGAGCTGGTTCCGAATCTGTGGACGATAAATGAAACAGCTTGAGAATTATTCCGATGCGGATGGGTTCACGGATATCTAGATCTGATCCTGGCATTTCATTTGCCACGTGTTCTCAGCTACCCTTCCTTTTAAATGGGTTTTTGGTTGTAGATCTGTGATTTATCACCGAGCCTGATATGAATTTTTAATTGAATTCATTCGTGTAAACTTGATTCGACTTGATTCATATTAGTTTTATATGAAATTTTTAATAAATGTGCGTTCAAGATCCTACACAATATAAAAACGAAAACAGATTTCTCCCTTGGTGAACTCGAGTGAGCCAGTTGAGTGACCAACCACGCTGCTTGGAACAGCCTGCGAGGTCCGGTGGTAACCTGGAACGGCAACGAGAGACCCTGGGGAGCGGAAGAACGATCCAGTAAGGCTGAAAGAGGTTCCTGGAACAAAGAAGAACAATTTAGAAGGGCGCCGGAGTGTTTTCCGGCGTATCCCCTCCGACGATCTAGTCAGTCTTTGAGAAAGAGAGAGGAAGGAGAAAACACTGAGTGTGTATTGTAGTAAAGAGTTTTTTGTTGCATACCAGTCTTGCCTTTTGCAAGGAGTATTTATACCTCAAAAGCTCATGATTGCTGTCAGTGTAGTCAGTAGGTGATCATTAGGTACAGGCAGTGTGCGCACTGATTCTGATGAGGAATGTCTTCTCTTCTTAACTGCTTGGGGTCCCGAGCAATCAATGTTGTGTCATCGGGATGCCGACGGTACAATGTACTCCTCTCGGGGAGGATGCAATAAATGCACTGTATTAGGAGCATTTATTGCCTTTCATTTCCGAACCTTACCGCATTGAATGCGGTCTCATCAAGGGAATGGTGTAATTAATAGTTTGCTTTCCCAAGTCGCGTGTCAGCAACGACATGCGTTTTCTCTGTCTTCGATGTGATATCATACGCCACGCGTCTATTCCCTATTGGCTGTGACCCCTGCATTTCCAGTACGTTCTGACACTAATTGTGTAAGACGAGGTCATGATGAATAGCCTAAACTAGCCTAGGCTAATGACCTGTACGTCAATAGCTTATCCTGGAGTAGAGGAAGCGTCCAGGACGGGGTACCTCTCGGCACCGAGGAAAGGCTCATCTTAGAACCGAGGGAGGTATGCCGACCGAGGTACCATATTAGACCGAGGCCACGTGTCGGTTGTAAAACATACTGAATGCATGATCCTATATGACGAGTACCTCGGGGGCGAGGACCTTTGTGCGCCGATGGTGCTTGATCTTAGCAACAGTATTTTGGTAATACCGAGGACACGTGTCTTCATCATGGTGCATTTCAGAAAAGTCCCATCAACTGCCCCCCAGCCTTCGATCTTCTGACACCGAGGGCACGCGTCGTAAGGAGACGAAGGGTTTTCAAACAACCACAACTGCTTCATTATTGCCTCAAGCCGCTTTCCCGGCTTGGGATGTCGTGCGCATTAAATGCGCCGTTTCGTTTTTCGCGCCCAATGATGAAATTGCCTCTATATAAATGGGGCTCCTGTTCCGTTTTCTTGTTTCGCCATTCCGAACTTCCTCAAGAGAGCCTTTTCTTGAATCTTTGCCGGAGATCTCTTTCTTCTTCCATCGTCGACTGCCCATTCTTCCTTAAAGTCTTAAGGCCAGCAGACCCATCGTTGCTTCTGAACTTTCTGGAAGGAGTCGCTTTAAGGTTTTCCAGAAAAAACTCCGTTTGACATTCGGGTGAGTTTCAGTATCTTCCTTCTTTTCTTCCTCCTATCCCTTTTTGTTTTTCGATGACTGGAGGTGTCTCCGGTTGATACATAGCGACTAACCCTCGGGAAACTTCCTCAGGGATTTTTAAGAACAAACACCCTCTACTTTCTCACTTTCTTAGAGATGCCTCGTCGTCGCCCTGCTCCCGAGAATCCTCAGGCTGGTTCTTCGGGGTCGGGAAGTATAAAGTAAAGGGTGGTGAGCAGATTGATAGGTTTAAGGTCAAGTACGGCATTCCCCCGTGCGTAGACGTAGAGGATTACGACCCGGTGGTGCACTCTCCTACCCTCGGGGCCGAGGATGCTATGCCCTTTTATACCAAGGCCATAATAGAGGGAGGAATTAGGTTTCCTTTACCCCCTTTACTTCTTCAGTTTCTCTCTCACTTCTGCCTCTTCCCCGGGCAATGTTGCCTTAATGTCTTCAGAATAATTATGGGGGTCTTAGAGCTCAATAGGCGTCTCGGGGTAAATATTGGGCTCAACGATCTCCTTTTTTGTTATTCTCTCCTGAGAGTCATGCCTCACCAACACTTCTACCTCAACGCCAGGGACCCCTCCATGTACCTTGTAACTCATCTTTCCGACTCGGACAAGGGGTACAAGGATGATATTCTTATCTTCAAGGGATCTTGGCAGAGAGGTGTTGGTCCCGAGTATAACGACTTGTTATGCCCTCTGGAATGGAGAACGACAAGTACGTCGGTTCCTTCGGGTTTATTATTTCGTTCTTCAGATTTTCCATGTTCATGACTACTTTTTTGTTTGTGCAGATATTCCTGCTCGGGAAACAGCTCCTCCCCCTCGGTCGCTGGTGAACTTTGCCGACCTAGTCACGGTTTGGAGATTTACTGGTGACAACGGGTTCGGCCGGGCTGCCCACATCCTGCTGAATTACACCCCCGGGCATAAGAAATTTTCACAGCTTCCTCAGCCTTTTGAGCCTTCGCAGTGGTCTGAACTCTTCGATCAGGTGGCAAGGCAAGAGGTCGAGGAAAACTTGGAGAAAGACCCTGATTGGGCTTCGGAGGCAGAGGTAGAGGGAGTAGTTGAAGAGCTCGGGGTCAGAGAGGACGTTGTTCCTTCGGACGCCGAGGTAGGGACTTCGGGAGGAGACTTGTGGCCAGACTTCCAAGTTCTACAATCTCTAGACGCCGAGGACGCCCTCGAGGTCGCGATGTCCAACGCACCTCGCATTGACCTGGGGTTCCTGAGGCAGAGGCAATCCCTTGCTGTCGGGAGGGGTCGAGGATCGATCGGCGGCGCCCCCTCTACAGGGACCAGTTCTACCCCATCCTCAAGAGTTCTCAGTCGGGGTCAAGTGCGTGACCGGGATCCTTAGGTAGAGGAGGAGAGAAGGGTCAAACATCGGCACGATGGCCTCGACAGAGGATCCAGGGCACCTTCCGCTCAACAGTAAAGCGGGAGAGACCGTGGGTTACCCCCTACTCCTCCGCAACAGCAGCAGCAGCAACAGCCACGACAACAGCAACAACAGCAACAGCAGACTCCCCCTTCCCTTCCACCGACAGTGGAAGCCGCGGAGTGGAATCCCCGAGCCACCGATCACATGAACCGAGTGATCAGGGTCGATGATTCCATTTTGCTGGATCCTCATGTCGCCAATGCAGTGAGTGAGACACTGCATTTCGAGGCTGACATGGCAACCCACAGGGGGCGATCCACCAACGTGTTGTTCCGCTCTATCATCCAGAATTCGCTGGTGGTAAGTTCGTTTTTGCTTTGGTTTCTTCTCTCTTGTTTTCCATTTTTGTGACACCTTTTTCCCTCCTTTGCAAGCTACCTAGCAGATCTCCATAATAGCTGCGCGGTACCATGGATCTAGGATAGACCTCCAGCGGGCCCGAGAGCAGAAGGAAGAAGCGGAGGGGCCCTCGCCAGAGCTATGGAGAACGTGGCCGCCAGGGATTCTACCCTGGCGAGGCAGGCTGCTCAGATCGAACAACTCCTCAAGGATGCTGAGTTGGCTAAGGTTGGCGCTGAAAAGCTAAGTGCTGCCCTTGCCGATGCTGAGGGGAGGATTATCGAGCAGACGCGACGGCTTTCTGCCGCGGAGGAGAGGGCGGTTGGCTCAGAGGAAAGCTGTCTGGCTCTCACCCAGGAGCTGGATAGGATCAGAGCCGAGGCACTGAACAGAAAATCGGAGGAGCAACTCCAGGAAGAGTTCGCCGATGACGTGCTCCCTGCTCTTGAGGAAAACAGCAAGGAGTTCTTCAAGAAAGGGTGGGACGAGGCGCTCCAGTCTGCTGGAATCCCGTCAGACTCCCCGCTCTTCCAGATGCACAAGTACGTGCCCTCGGCAGAGATGGCACGGGCCGAAGCAGAGATTGCTGCCGAGGATGAGGTCCCAACGCCGGTGCAAGTCTCGGCGGATCCGCCCGAGGCAGTGATAGTGGACTTGTCCGAGGACGCCCCGCCGGACCATGCTCCTGATCCTCAAGTTGCCCAAGGTCTCCCTGTTGCCGAAGTACCTCTCCTGCCTGCTCCAGAAGCTTCTCAACCTTTTTTTGCTGACTCGCCCTCGGCTGATGTTGTGGAGATGCCCGGGGCCAGATGAAAGCCCCTTTTTCTTTTGGATTGTACTCTTTTTTTTTTCTTTTGTAGCCTTTGG